TCGGGGCCAAAACCCTCGTGAGCTCTACATACCAGATTGTATGTTCAGGTTATAGACGAACTGAACTGTGCATTACAGGAGGAGAACAAACAGGAATCTCATACCCACATCACCCCCCTATGGCTTTTGGAATCCTCTGTAGGCATGCGGCCTACCACATGCGGGGGCTCTATGGCAGTATTCTTGTCACGTAAAGCCCAAAACTTGTTTATTTGGGCACAATTTTGCTAATATTCGGCCCTGAGCAGTGAATCTGCGCAGTGTGAGCACAGGCTGGACGTCGCAGCTCTACATCGTACGCCGTGTTGCATGAAATTCTGTGCGATCTAGCCAGTGCTATAACTACAGTATTTACAGTATTTGCCTTTTTTGTAGGAAGACTATTTCTCTGCATTTCCCCCCCAAGACGACTGCGTTTCAATGTTGTAGCATCGCAGCTCGGCTCCTTTTCAGACACCAGTCCCCCGACACTCGTGTAGTCCAAAGCCTACATTAAAATACCAACCCCCACATGAAAATACCACTTTTAATCCCTCACTCGACAGTATAATTTTAAATTAATTATACGAAAATACTATCATTCGTCATTCCGTAGCGGTCACTCGCATAACTGCAGTAGATGCAGTAGAATCCCTCTCTCGCGTTTCAATCAAGCAGCGCCTCCGGCTATAGTGTCTTTCTGCGTATGAAGCATCCAGAATGGGAAACCACAAAGAAAACCTAAAGGAATATAACATTATATAACAGCTTAAATGGTTCTTTGTATTGCCATGATTCGGCGTGAAGAGCTGGCGACAGCCCCACGCCGACGACCGGGTGGACTGGACCACTCGGGTTATGCTACAAGCACAACTGATTAACTGATTTAATTGCATCATGCAAACAAGGAAGGGAAAGTTCCAATGCATTAAACGAAAAAAGAAACGCCTAAGGCACGCAGCATTCAACCGCCAAAACGCATAGGTATATAAATTCCGTCGCCGGGACTTGAACCCGGGTCGCGCGGGTGAGAGCCGCGTATCCTAACCACCTAGACTACGACGGATGTTTCGTAGTCATTTGCAGCTGCAGCAGCTCTATCCCACCCGAATGTTGCGACTCATTCGGTGGGCTTCATAAGGCCATTCTTTAGTCTGCAGCTGAAGGCAGGCTCATCACCAGATTCAGTGAGAGGGCANTGGGCTTCATAAGGCCATTCTTTAGTCTGCAGCTGAAGGCAGGCTCATCACCAGATTCAGTGAGAGGGCAAGGGTAAGGTTTAAGGTTCTTGCGTCCGAGTAGCGCAGCCAGGGTCCCAAAAGAGCTCCTTTGCCTAAACCTACTGCAACTCTGGCTGTGCTCTCCTGGCTGCGCCAAGAGGCAGGAAGGCGCCTGAAAGCGTGTGATATGACACTGTGCGAATACGAGCTGAGCTTTGCAAAAGGAAAAAAAGATGATGGCTGTAAGTGCACTACCACCAGTTGACGTTCCCTTCACCTTCAGCGAACAAACACTTAAATAAGGCAACACTGCAGCTCGGAGAGCTCCTGCTCTCCCGTCTGTCACCTTCAAAGCAAAATGAAGTAATGGCCACAAGGCGCAACAAAGAGCGCGAGCATGCGGAAAGCCCAGCGGCTGGTGTTGCGGGCTGAGGGCCGCCGCATCGACTTCAGTAACGGTAGACATACATGCACAAAGACAGACGCTTGAGCAGTACAACCAAGCAAGGCAGGGGTAAGACCCTGGGCAGATTCAGGACATACGCCTAGGAAGAAGAGGAGCTCGATAAGAAGCAGCAGTTGTTTAATTAGATTAGCAAGGAGTTAAGGGAGTGAAATGCATTTGGGCGGGCTGTGTTGAACTGCAGTGGCTCCCGTCTCCCTCCTTCCCGAAGGGGCACCCCTTCATCTGTTGTCTCTTATTGGCAGCTTGGGCCCTCCTCTGCTGTATCTCTGCCCAGCGTTGGCGGTGCCTCTCCTGAGCCTCTTGGGTTCTTCTCTTTGGCTTTCGCTGCGGCTGCGGCTGTGGCCGCGCCGCCTCGCACTTCTTTAAGCTATACAAATTGCACAACACCGCTTCTGAAGACAGAGGCCTCGCGGCGATCAACGCATCCAACAAACTCGAATCTGGGGGCCCCGCCCCTTGCGAAGCAACGAGCGAAGAAAAAGGGGACTCAGCAGCAGGGGGGGCCGAACACTCTCCCGTATCAACCGTGTTGCTGCAGCTGCCACTCTCGCGCTGGTACGAAGTTGCGCCTGCTGTTGAAGGCTGAGACGCGCTTATATGCTGCTGCTGCTGCTGCAGCTGCTGTTGCTGCAGGGGCCTCGCGCCGTCTCCAGCTTCCTCACTCGGGGAATGTTCCGTTGCCGAAGCGGGCGGCCTGTGTTCGCCGTAGTCGGATATCTCTCCCTCTTCTGTATCCGAGGCCTCAGCTGTCTTACGACCCTCCGTAGCCCTTGCTGCACACGAGAGGGGGCCCATTTGTCCCCCTGTTCCCTCCAAGGCCACGGGCCCTCTGCCAGCAAAGGGTGGGCCTCCTTGGCCGGAAAAGTTCATAAATGCTGCCGACTGCGTATGCAGCGTTTCGTGTTGCTGCTGCTGTTGCTGCTGCTGCCTGGTTGCTGCTGGCGCTCCTTCGGCAACTCCCCCATCCGGATCAACGGAAGGGCCGGGGGCCCCCAAGCCTCCTGTAGCCCCCAAGCCTTCTAGAGCTCCGGAACCTGTGGGATCCCCGGAAGGGTCTTGTGCGTGCTGTGTATTTGGCGCTAGACGGGATGGAGGCGAGAGCGCGTCGAGGATTTCAAGCGTCTCTTCTCGCTCCTTCTCGCTGAGGGTGTTCAACGCCTCCAGGACCTCCGAAGAGAGACCTGAGACTGCAGCAGCACCTGTAGACAATTGCCGAGAGTCAATTGCTGCTGTTGTTCCTGCTGCTGCTGCTGGCGCGGCTGCTGATGCTGGCGGTCCTGCTGCAGCCCAACACGGCAAAGGAGGGGGAGGAGGTGGAGGCGGAACTACAGCAAAGGGGGGAGGAGGAGGAGGAGGAGGAGGCGGAGGAGGAGGAGGTGCTGCTGCTGCTGCTGCTGCTTGGGAAGGCGGCGACGTCGAATAAGGCGTTGCTGCAGCTGGTCGTGGCATGCGTGCAGCTGCAGCTGCAGGTTCTGCAGCCGGCAGATCAACAGCAGCATCGGCAGCAGCACGAACAGTGCCGTCTTCTCGCGGACTCTCTCGTCGCCGTCTGCTCTGTTGTGCTGCTGCTGCCGGTGTTGCAGCTGCCAAAGCAACAGCAGCTGTAGGTTGATCTGCTGCAGCAGCTGCTGTTGGTTGTGCCTGCTTAGAAGGCGCCCTTCGCCTTTTCTCGCCGCGTGTTGTGCCCAAGGGCTCCACACTTTGCAGCAGCTTAGGCTGCTGCTGGTGCTGCTGCTGCTGCCCCTGCTGCTCGTCCTCGTCTAGCTGCAGCAACTGCTCCAGCTCGTGCTGCTGAAGGCTCCCTCCAGCTGGCCTACACTTCTGTGTGCCCGAAGACGCTGAAGTTGAAGAAACCCATGCCACAGATGCTGCTGCTGCTGCTGCTGCTGATGCTGGTGTTGCTGATGTTGTCGCTGCTGCTGTTGAGATGCAGCAAGCAGCCTCACCGGATACTGGAGCTGCTGCTGCTGAGCGGCGCTGCTGCTTCAGGGGGGCCCCTGACGGCCCCGCGTGCAGCTGTTCTTGGGGGCCATCCTGGTTACACACAATGGATGAGAGGAGGTCAGCAAACGCCTGAAGGTCCCGCACTGCAGCAGCAGCGATGTGCTGCTGCTGCTGATCCAGCGTTTGCTGCAGCTCCGATTCAACTGCAGTAAAAACCTGCTGCGCACGCAGAAGAAGCGGCTGCAGCAGCCACGGGTTCCGTGCGGAAGGGCAGCAGCTACGGCTGCTTCTCTTTCTCCCGTCATCCTTGCTACTGCGGTCGTTGCTGCTCTGGCTGCCGCCCAGTGTATTACTGCTGCTGCTATTGCTGCTGTTGTTGTTGCTGCTGCTCCCATTGCTGCTGTTGCTGCTGCTGCTGCTTGCCGCAGCAGCAACCTGCTCTGGAGGAATTCTCCGGGAGTTTCTGGGGGCCCCTCGGGCCCCCAAGTGCCGCATGAGTCCCTCCGTTATCATGAAGTGACCAGGGTTGCGTCTTTCCTTCTGTTGTCTTCTTGACTACTTTCCTGTGTGCGCAGCTGCCACCGCCGCAGCAGTAGCAGCAGAGCAGCAGCAGCCGCTGCTGCTCCTGCTGCTGCTGCGTCCCGCTCCCGCGTGGGTCGAAGGGGCTGACCTCGACTGTGCCTGTAAGGGCCCCCCGCTCTACAGCCGCAGCTTCTGTCTGTTGACTCTGCAGGGCCTTAAGGCGTCCAACTGGAAGGATTTAGAAGGGCCCTTGCGGGCCGCAGGGTAGTGGGGGCCCCCGGGCCAGCCCGCTAAGGCGGGTGCTGCAAGCCTTAGAGCTGATACCTGAATACTTTAGTACTGCTAAAAAGTAAAAAGATAAACAAAAGGCAAGCGAGTTGCGCAGCTCCAGCCTAAAGCCCCAAACATCCGGGGGGGCCCCCTATGGAAGGGGGGCCCCCCAAGGAGCAAGCCCGCAGGCTGGCCTGCTGCCTCCCCTCTCCTGAAGGAGTTATTTTTCCTTCTGTTGCTGTTTAAACAGACACGGGGGTTCAGAATTCTGTGAGGCATTCCAGGTAGCAGCAGCAGCCGCGTCGGCGGCAGCAGCGACAACATCAGAGACACAGCAAACGTCGAGTGTGGCCTCATACCTTCGGTGGCCCGCTGCAGCAGCAGCAGCTCCTGCTGCTGCTGCACCCGCTGCTGCAGCTTTAGGAGCGCCCACTAGCCCAGCTCCAACGGCCATTGGCTTCAACTGGGCCGCCTAGGAACCCCAGGGGCCCCTGGCCATACAAATGTTGCGCTTCTCCTACCCTGCCACAAGAGCCCTTAGGGGCCCCCCTAGGGGCCCCCTTAGGAGTCTCCGCGTGGGCTTTTATCGGGGCCGTCTGGGGCCCTCGGGAAGGAGAGACAGCGGCAGCAGCAGCAGCAATGCCATTGCAGCATGCGCAGGGGCAGCAAGAACAGAGGCAGAAGGGCCGCCTCTAGACTGCCGTACGGGCGATGGATCCGTTGTATTTGTCAATCATGGGGTTTTGTTGCGGCGAACTACAGTAGCAGCGCCAACAGCAGCAGCATTGCACCGCAGCAGCCGAGGTGTCTCCACAGCGCAGCACCGCCGTCCTCATGCGGCGCCCTTCCGGGGGGGCCCCAGCGTCTTCGACTTCTCAGAGGCCGCCTCAGAAGATCCGCTGGCGAACACGTTTGAGGCCCCTGCAACAGCAGCAGCAGCAGCGGCGGCAGCAACAGCAGGAACAGCCGCTGCGCAAGCAGCAGCAGCTACTACTGAAGCAGCAGCACGAAAAGAAATGGGAACCAGTGCCAGCGACGCGTATACCCTTTCTTCTCATCAGAACGATAGGGGTTGGCCCCTCGCGGGGCTGAACAAGAGGAGGCCTAGAGCATTTGTACTGAATGCTGGGTATCAGCAGCAGCAGCAGCACCAGCACCCACAGCAGCAGCAACAACAACGACAGCAGCAGCCACATCACGGGGTTCAAGGGGATGCGGTAGGCATTCTGGGCACCTCGCAGACAATTCCTGTTCCCACAGGGGCAAATGGTGGGTCTGCTGCAGACGCTGCTGTTAGTGCAGCTAATGCTGCTGCTGAGGTTGCTGCTAAAGCTGCTGCTGTCGAGATGCTGCAGGGGCAGTGGAGGCTGCTGCGGCGAGCGGTGCAGCAGCAGCGGGAGGTGCTGCCGTATAGGGCAGCCGCAAATCTGCCGTTACTATTGGAAGACACTGCTGCAGCCCTCCAGCAGGCAGAAGAGACAAATAAAGGTGCAGCACCAACAGCAGCAACAGCAGCAGCAGCAGAAGCCGGAACAGCACCTGCGGCAACAGGAGCTGCAGCTGCAACAGGCCCCGAGGAGTCGCTTCTGCGGCTCTCCCTGAACGTGTTGGCATTTAGCGCCATCTGCTTAGAGAGAGAAATCAAAGGGTTTGCTGCAGCAGCAGCAGCAGCAGCTGCTGCTGCTGCAGGCGCAGAAATCCGCATGGATCGCTTATCTCTGCAGCAGCTACTGCCGCAGACGCGTCAGCAACGTAGCCGAGGCAGCAGCACGGGCAGCAGTATTGGCAAGATCAGCAGCAGAAGCAGCCAAGTCCCGCCTCTTTATATGCCACCTGCGCTGCTGCTGCAGGCAGCGGGTGTCGTTATAAGGTGGTTGCAGCAGCAGCATCAGTGTTTAGCAGCAGGGAGCTCCCGCTTGGATGTGCTGCAGCCCACCGAGGCAGCTGCTGCCATGCGGTCTCTNGTTTAGCAGCAGGGAGCTCCCGCTTGGATGTGCTGCAGCCCACCGAGGCAGCTGCTGCCATGCGGTCTCTTTTGCTTCTGCTCTGTCATTACGCCCCGTTACAGCACCTCAAGGCTGCAGCTGCTGCTGCTGCGATTCCGGTGTATATCCACCTCTTGCAGCAGCAAAACGCGCTGCAGTGGCACTGCACGCTAAGCACTTATAGGACGCTGCTTCTACTAGAAAGAGCCGTCTGCTCGCAGCAACAGCAGCAGCAGCAGCAGCCAGCTGTCACCTCCGCCGCTTCTACGCCAGGACAAGGTCAGCATCAATACCAACAACAGCAACAGCAACAACAATCGGCTGTATGGCCGCTCTCCGGAGTAGCTCCCTCATTTGCTTACTGGAATGGCTACGGCCCCCATTTTGGGGGCCCTTCTCTTCATGAGCTGTACGCACACCTCGACCGTGCCATGTTGACATTCCTTAACAGAAGAGCCCTTATGCCGGTGCAAGAAGGAGGCTCTACAGTTCATCCGAAGCAGCAGAAGGAGCAAGTGCAACACGAGCAGCAGCAGCAGCAGCAGCAGCAGCGGCTGTTGGAGGGAAACGGGCCGGGCCCTGTGTTTTCACTCGCCCCTGTGGAGTGTGCACAGCTGCTGTTGCGGCCTTCTGCTTGCCCTTCCGTACGATTGGCTGTCGGTGGCGAACTGCTGCAGCTGCTGCTGCTACTGCAGCGCGACCCAAATGCCTACATGCAGCAGCTGCTGCTGCGACGGGGAGAGGGCGAGCATTTGCTGCTGCGCGAGGCATCGGTTATGTCTACGATTGCAGCTGCCTCCCGCAGCGTCCTTTCGTGGACCGACTTGGCCTCTCACTCGACTGGCAGCAGTAGTAGTAGTAGCAGCAGCAGTAGCGGCAGCAGCAGCAGCATGGCACCACAGCAGCAGGTGGAGCTTTCCTGCTTGCGGCGGGAGTTGCTGCAAGCAACGCGCGGAGCTCTTCTTTCTCTTTTGCTTTCTTTCTCTANTCCTGCTTGCGGCGGGAGTTGCTGCAAGCAACGCGCGGAGCTCTTCTTTCTCTTTTGCTTTCTTTCTCTACTCGTCCGGCGGTTACTCTGCCCTCGGATGGGAGGTATCGCCAGCTGCAGCAGCAGCAGCTGCAGGAGCGGTTGCTACTTCCTCGGCTGCAAGCCTTGGCAGCATTATCTGAGGTGTATGCACACCGGGAGGTATTCACCAGACCTATCGCAGCTGCATTGCTGTGGGAGTCGCTGCTGCTACTTCGACTGTTTGTGCGCGAAGAGACAACAGCCGCCGCTGCTGATCCTGCCGCTGCAGTTGCAGCTGTTGCTGCTGCTGGTGCTGGTGACCAAAAACAAATGACACCGGTACTTATTGCTTTGATGAAGCTTGCAGACAGCTTGAGTTGCACGCCGTTGCTTTCTAAAGGCCAGTGGCATAGACCAGAAGGAGCAGCAGCAGCAGCAGCAACAGGAGCAGCACATGGGGAACCTGCAATGGTGCATCAGGCAACGCGCTTCTTCGGGGGGTCGCCTGCCTTTCTAGTAGAGCTGCTGAGGGAGATAGCACTGCAGCAGCAGCAATGGCTAGCGAAGGAGGTGTCTCTGTGGGGAGCGCTTCCTCAGCAGCAACAGCAGCAGCAGCAGCAACANCAACTCTGCAGCAGCTGTCAGCGCTGCATGCACCAAAGCAGCTTTCTGCTGTAGCAGCTGCTATCGGCTGCATCACGTCTTCTTTGTTGAGGGCATTTTGGGGGCCCGAGGGAAGCACAGCAGCTCTGGTGTATCTGCAGCTGCAGCGGGCGCATAGTCACCTCTCTGCGCTCCACGCAGACCCCGCCTTTTTGCCATCCCTTCTCAGCATGCGTTTGCGCTGGCAGCATCAACAGCAGCAGCAGCAGCAACAGCAGCAGCAACAACAACAACAGCAGCACCAGCAGCAACAGCAGCAGCTGCAACGACAGCACCAACAGCAGGAACAGCACATTGTCGACATGCGGTACGGGAGTCCCACGGACCCCTGGACATTGATGAGCCGCACGGACTACGCCTTCAGCTTGTGGCTGACACGGCAGCAGCAGCAAGCACTGCAGCACAGCATGCACGAGCAGCAGCAGCATGCTGTTGCTGTTGCTGCTGCTGCATATAGACCTCATTCTGCACACAGTACACCGCAGCACCTGCCCACAGGCAACTTGCAGCAGTGGCAGCAACACTTGATGCACCAGGAGCAGCTTTGGCTTCAGCAGCAGCCGCTTGCAGCCAGCAGATGGGGAGGATGGGAGGGACACAGAAGCAGCAGCAACAGCAGCAGCAGGTTCAGCAGCAGCTGCACCATCAGCCCAGGCAACGTGCTGTGGGAATCATCTTTGTTGCAGGAGAGCACAGCTCTCTTGGCTTCTGCCGTCCCGGTAGCTGGGCTGCCTTTGCATTCACTAGGCACCCAGCAGGAAGTGCAGCAGCACCAACATGATAAACAGCAGCAACAGCAGCAACCGAAGCACGAGCAGTACCAACCGTCGCAGGAGCTTGTGCTCCCTTTAGGTACAGTGCTAAAGGCTGTGAAAAAGCAGATTGCTAACCACAGCGCCTCGGTGCATGCNTGCTCCCTTTAGGTACAGTGCTAAAGGCTGTGAAAAAGCAGATTGCTAACCACAGCGCCTCGGTGCATGCGGAGGCTCCCCTTCTGCAGCTACAGCGACAGACGGATGAACAGCTGATGCAGCTGCTGCAGCAGCATTTGCAGCAGCTCCAGCAACAGGTGCAGCAAATGCAACAGCAGCAGAAGCCACGAATTCGGGTGGGTGTTCTCGCAGATGCAGCAGCATGCACGCAAATCGAGCACCAGCAGCAGCAGTTGAAGAATGAACCTGCTGCTGCTGCCCTGAGGATTCAGTGGCTGATGCATGCTTGTGCATGCGCAAATGCAGCAACGCCGCAGACCCCTGAGCAGCTTCTGTGTCTGCTCCAGGATGTGTGCTGTCTGCTGCGGACAGCACAAATTGCTCTGGAGCAGAGAGTTGCAGCTGCAGCAGCGGGAACTGCAGCCGCATCTCCAGCTCCTGCAACTACTGCAGCAAACACGGCACCAACACATTTAGACACGTCAATNCTGCAGCCGCATCTCCAGCTCCTGCAACTACTGCAGCAAACACGGCACCAACACATTTAGACACGTCAATGAACTCGACACCGATCACGCATAGTGGCGTCGGCCAACCTGCTGAAGATGCAAGAGGTGCTGCTGCTGTCAGCAAGAGCACAAGCGGCAGCAAAAGAAGCAGCAACAACCACAATGCCATGATGCCCCCAGGCACGCAGATACGCGTCAGCTGCTGCGTTATTGCAGGGCCTCTGGCGGACCCCCCAGCTGAGCTGCTGCAGGTATTGGCTCTGTTCACGAGCCCTCTGTGGCTGCATCAGGTGCTCCCTGGTCTCGCTGCTGCTGCAGCTCAGCTGCATACTTGCAGCATCATTAGGGGCAGCGATGCGCAGCACTTCAGTCAACTCCAGCAGCGCGTGAAGCTGTTGCTGCAGCTGCAGAAGTTACAGCAACAGCAGCAGCAGCTGTTGCATGAGCTGAAACGGGTCGTGCAGCTGCAGCAGCAGCGGGTCGCGCAGCAGCATGCTGTCGTGAGTTCATTGCGTGCAGCTGCTGAGCACCGGCAACAGCAGCAACTGCAGCTACTGCGGGAGCAGCACCTTAAAACAAGGCAGCAGGAACGCCAGCAGGCCAGATGGGAGCGTCTGCTGCAGCGACGAGTGCAGCAGCAGGAAATGGAGGCTGAGGCGAATAAGAGCAGGCTGGCTATTCTCTCGAGTGCATGCGGAGCTCTTGCCTTCTCGTACGAACACTTCAAGCAATCCGTGCTGCGTCAGCTGCTGCTGCCGCAGCTGCTGCAGCAAGACCTGCTGCTCCGCCGCATTGAGATGCTGCTCCAACGCTGCCGCCGAATAGGCTTCCTCCGCCGCCAGCTGAAGAAGGCGAGCAGCAGCAGCAGCAGCAGCAACACCGGACGTGAGGTGCCGGCTCAGCAACAGGAGCCGCAGCAGAACGAGCAGCAGGAGCCGCTGCGGGGGGAGGTGATGACATCGCTAGCGTACGGCGTTAATGAGCTACTTGCAGTTCTGAGGTGGGCAGGGGAAGGGATCGTGACAAAGAGCAGTCATTGTTTTTGTGGTTACTATTGCTGCTGCTGTTGTTCTTGCTTTTATTTGGTGCGGTTTGTTGCTTCTTTTCCTCTCCTTGTGATGGTCGCGGGCATACCCGCATCTCCTCTTCGATGCAGGATGCGTGCATAACTGCATCTACATAAATATATTATATATATATATATATATATATATATATATATATATATATATATATATATATATATATAT